TGAGTGATAGAGAAAAGAGGCTACCTAAGGAAAAAGACTTTTCACCAAAAAAAAAAAAAAAGTGAATGAACATTTCTAGGTGGAAGGAAGAGCACTCCTGGCCAATGTCATTTGCTGGAAGGCCCAGGGCCAAGATGAAGCATGACTGTCTTGCAGTCATTCAACAAACATTGGGTGAGGGCCTCCTGTGTGTTCAGCACAGTTCTTAGTGAAATTACAGCAGGAAATGAAGAGACCAACTTCCCGGCCTTTGAGGGGTGACATTGTAGAGGCAGATATGGAAGAAGGGAGAAAAGGACGGAACAGATAATAACAGAACCCTCCAGGCACAGCAAAATCCCTGCAAAAATGTTCCGAGGAGAAGCACATCCAGGTCTGTTGAAAGAACAACTGGAAAGCCAGAGTGGCCAAGGAGAGAGCAGCAGGAGAAGCTTCCAGAGCTCTAGAGATGTCAATCCAGGGAGGTTCTGAGGACATGGTATGGATTTTGGCTTCTAATCAGAATTTATTGTGTATAGGAATTAAATAATACGCTTCAGGTCTTAAAAAGATCACTGTGGCTTCTGTGTTGAGAATAGACTATAGGAGGCCACGGGTTCAAGCAGGGAAACCAGTTAGGAGCCACTGCGTCCCCGCGGCTGTGATGGGTCAAGGGAGGTGAGATGTGAGAATTAACCAGTAAGCGCAGGTTATTATGACCTTGACGTGAACACATTTGGTACGTGGCGGGGTGAAACGTGGTTTGAGTTGGGCCCATGAAAGAATGGAAAAGGAGGAGCTAAAGGGATGTTGAGGTATTTGCTAGAAGGAGAGCGGGGGGGGGGGGGGGCTTGGGAACGAAGCAGCAGCTGGAGGAGATGTAAAATCAAAGGACAGATTTGTTTCGTTTTCAATTGGACAAAGTATAAATGGATGAAAATAATCCATCAGCTGATCATTGATAATTGTTGACCGTGGGCACGGGCAAAGCCCTGTCCTCAGCTGGGAGCAGGTCAGTCACCCACACGCAGAGGGCAGCGCATCCCCTGAGGCACACGGTGAGCAGCTGTGGGGCCGAAACCTCGGTGTCCTATTCCGGTTGCTTCTCTTTGCTTAAGAACATGGAAAAGCTTAAGGGTGGGAGGGGCCCTGGAGGTTGGAAAGAGGGAGGGTGCAGCAACCAGTCATGCAGGAGAGTCTGCCCTTCGTCCAGAGGGTGTGGGAGGGGGAGAACATTCCCGAAGGATGTGTGGTTGTCCAACAGGATCCCGGTTGTCCTGGGGCTGGAGCCCTGCGCATAGAGGAGGGCGGCCTGCAGGTGGGCAGGTGGCCAGAGTTCTGCAAGGCAGATCCTTGGTGACTAACCATGGACGTGGAGGCGGGACGGAAGGGCCCCAGGAGCCGGTGTGAGGGCGCGCAGAGATGGGGGAGGCTGAGGTGGGTCGGGGTGGGCCCAGGGCCCTGCTGGCCACTGGGGGCGGCGCCACCTGCCTGGGGAGGCCAGTGGGGCGCACCTCAGGGGGCGCAGGACGCGGGGGACTTGGCACAGGGCAAGCGTGGCCACAGGTCAGCACAACAGAGCAGGTACAGGAAGCACCTGGGCACCCCACAGGTGCCCGCAACCCCCCGGGTGGCAGAGCTGGGGACCTGGGGGCCGCCTCCTGGGGGAGGGTACCCCTGGAGCTCTGCTGGCCCACACCTGGGGCCCGTCAGGCCACTGGCCTAAACGGGGATTGGCAGGTGCCCTTCGGAAGGGCTGTCTAGAAAGCTTCAGGGCGCCGGCTCTCCGCACTGAGCCCAGTCGGGCCAGATCCAGGGTGACTCTGCAGCCCAAGGCCCAGGGACGGAGCGTGACCTGCAGGTGCATGAGACGCAGGGGTCGGGGTGCCGCAGGGACCTGGGGTGCAGGGTCGTCAGGAACACCTGCCGGCTGCCCGACTGCAAGCCCAACCTGCCCAAATACCCCCTGATGGCAGAGCTGGAAGCCGCGAGGGTCGGGGCGCCCTGGGCAGGGTCCCTGCCCCCTGGTAATGAACCCGGGACACGGCTGCAGACGCCTGCAGCTCCGGCCCACGGGCTGCGTCCTCAGGGACTGACTGGCGCCGGGTTCAGCTGCTGCCACAGAGCAGTTTTCCAGGGTGCACCCCTGAGGTGGGGGGGGTAGGCCCGCGCTCCACACACCGAGGGGCCCAGCTGCCCCAGGGTACCAGTGGGCACCTGCAGCTCCTGGCGGGCTGCTGAGGTCAGGGCGGCGGGGACCGGGGCAGGGCCCAGGGGCGCAGGCCGGCGTGTGGGGTACCCTGCACCTGCCTCTCCTACCCACACCTGCAGGCGGAGCTGGGGGATGGAGCTGGGGGACAGAGCGGTGCCCTGCAGGACGCAGCTGAGCAAGAGGCACCTGGGCCCCACCCGGTGTCGGGGCACAGTGTGGACTCCCCAGGGCCCGCGATGCTGCCTGCCCCTGAGGTCACGGGGACAGGCCAGAGCCCGCAGGCCTGCTGAGAAGGTGCAAGCCGCGCAGGCATCGGCCTCCTTGCGGGCGGGTCTCCCCACCGTGACACTGCGAGCGGGCCAGGCTACAGTGTAACAAGGCCTTCCTGGGGGACCCTGGGGGTTGCTTAAGCATCAGACTCTTGATTGTGACTCAGGTCTCGGCCTCAGGGTCTCAGGGTTGTGAGATCGAGCCCTGCCCTGGCCGAGGAGCCTGCTAAGGATCCTCCCTCCTCTCCCGCCCCCTCTCTCCAGAGTGCTCTGCTCTCTCAAAAAAATTGCTGGGACCCCTGGTGGCCAGAGAGCCCCAGACCCAATGGGGACCAATAGTGGCCCCTTGTAGCTGCTGCCTCAGGGCGCTTTCTGGAAGTGGCCCCTCTGTAGGAACCCCAGGCAGGTGCCCGGGGGGACCCCAGGTGCATGCATCCACCATGGGTGGGGGGAGCCGGCTGCTGAGGCCCTGGAGCCTTTGGGGGGCGGCCTGCAGCTCCTGCTCCGGGTGACTGTCGCGGCTGGGCCGCCTGCACCCTGGAGCCCGGCAGCTGCTGGAGCTAAGCCTCCACTTCCCCGGGCCCGCAGGCGGGGCGGCCGGCACAGGGCAGGGCACCAGGGGCCTGGCACAGGCCTTGGCCCTAAGAGGCCGCCCAGAGGAGCCGCCGGCCGGATGCCAGCCCTTAGACAGCCGGCTCTCTTACTTGAAAAAACACATTTATTTGGAAATAGGGGAATGGCAAATCCGGCCACCCAACCTATGGCAAGCGACAGGCAAGACTGAAGAGGCCAAGGAAAGGCCCGCTTGGGTGGGTTTTAGGAGGAAGTGGGGAGGGAGACCAACAGGACTGAGCTGTGACGGTTCCCCGCTGGCCGTCCGCGGTGCGTGTGGGGAGCTGCGGCAGGGAGACCGCCTCGTGCTCCTTCATAAAAGCAGGAGATGAAATTCTCGTGTGGACGTGTCCTCCCTCGTGGAGACAAGATTTGTCTTGCGCTGGTTAGGCAGGCCGTGAGGAGCGCCTCCCCCCACCCCCCGCCGCCTCCGGCCTCTGAAATGAGGTTCTCTTTACTCACTTTCCCACCTCCCCCTCTTGGTTCAGATCTTTTCTTGAACGCATTGCTGATCAAGAGTCAGGCTCTCCGCAGTTAGTGGTTTGTCCCACCCCCACCCCCACCCCCACCCCGGTGCCAGGAACAACCTTCCCTGGTTGTCCTATCCTCCTCTGGAGGGAAAGTGCACTGATTGGAAACCATCAAGGCCACGTTTGAGTACCACGGACGGGAAGGAGGGAGAACTTGCAGGCATCTTCCACCTACAGGCTCTCTTCTCAGGGGCGTAGGCCTTAAAAGTCATCTCCAAGCACTGAGCCAGCGTCACCCTATTTGGTGCATGGCTTCTGCCGAGATCTGACAGGCGACAGGTACGAAGTTTAAAACTGATGATACAAAAGAAGACAAAGAGCAGCACAATGACTCTAGTTAAATAATAATCCAAAACCAAGAGCCCAAAGCCAAAGAGGTAAGCAGCTACCTAAAGGACCACGGATCCTTAGGTGGAGCTTGTTGGAGCCAATATGCTTATTCTCTAATTTTATGCGATAAAGGTTCTCCTTCCCGGGGGAATTTATCCAGGCGCAACACACAGGTACTTAATGTTGCCCAACACCCTGTTGAGCAAGTAAATCAAGGGCTGTGCGATTATACAAAATTACTTTAACCAGTTGAGTCAAGCGATCCTTGTTGGGCTGTTACTGCTTTGGTTGTGGGGTCAGCGAGCTGTCTGGAATGTAGGAAGAGATCTCTGATCACGCATCCATTGGCATTTATTCAGATCCCTGGGTGGGAGAAAAGCTCCCCAGATGCAGAATCATGTGAGCCTCCTGGAAAATCCTGCTTGCGACAGACAGGAAGTCTCAAGGGGGCGGACCTGTAGGAAGCTTCTGACGTGGGACTCCAGGATTACACCCTGAGCCGAAGGCAGACCTTAACCGCTGAGCCACCCAGGTGTCCCAAAAAGGTCTAAATTCCATCGTATTTTCTTAGGTTGTAGGCGGACAGATTATATTTAAAAAAGGAAAAATAGGGGAGCCAGGGTTGTGCACTTGATAAATGTGGAAATGTTTAGTTAGTGCAGTTATGACTGGGGAAAGGTTGAAACAAGAAATAGAAACGCCTGGTCCTAACCACGTAGGTAAAATCTATAGGCTTGTAGTGGTATTTTGGACTGAAGGGAAATTAGGTACGAGTAAGACCAAATGGTCTCTGACTTTGGAAGCAAAATGGAGTCTCTGGCGACAGATCCAACAGTCAGAGAGGCTTAACGCTTTGGCAATAGACCAAGAAATGTGCATAAGACCATTACCTTTCCAAGGGAAAGGGGGGTGAAAAACAAAGTGAGAAGCAACAGGAGGAAAGGGGTATAAAGGTCTGGTCTTGTTATTCTAGAAAAGCTGTCACTTGCTCCAATTCCTGGAAATCTTTACTTTCAGGTCACGGGACATATGCAGGGAGGTCCAGGATGGGTTTGGTGCGTTCTTGAGATGTAACACATGAATCCAAGTGTCGATTCCTTCGTGTCTGGCTGCACAAGGGTCAGTTAACAGTACCTGATGGGATCTTCCCAAAGGGGTGGAAGAGTGTCTTTGTAGAGATGTTTTTTCCAATAGATGGAGTCCCCAGGTTGCAAGGTGTGACGTTTAAGGTCTTCATCTCCTGGGAGTACTCCGAAAAGAATGCTCTACCAGCATGGATATTTTGATAGAAGCAATTAGGCCTTTACGGTATTTGAGTAAATCTCTTCTTGTCAGCTGTGGATCAAAGAAGCAGGGGCAAGGTACATTGAGAGTTTTATTACGAGGAAAAGAGGTTCTTACTGAACCTATGCAAATAGGCACATTGTCATGCATATAAATAAAATAAATAAAATAGAATTAATAAAATAAATCAATAAATAAAATAAAAATATTTAATAAGAGTTTCAGAATTCTGGGGAAATCAGGAAGGGGGAAAAAAAAAGATAAATGCTTCAACCTTTGTGGTAAAGATACATTTCACCAAACTGCATGCTCGTTTTGGCAGCGCATGTACTAGAATTGGAACATTTTACCAAACTGCTGTAAGTTATGGGTAACTTAAAGGAGAGGAGAGAAGGGGGTTTTGAAGTCTGGAAAGCAAAACATTAAAGCAACTAGTTTTCTATTAAGAGCTTTAGAAATTCTTCCGTTTGGTGTCATGATCTTAAATTTATCAAACCTGCATCCTAGAGTACTTGTCAAGGTCTTTCTCATGAATGTCTTTGAAGATGAAGCACTTAATAGCTGGGCATAAATGACAAAAGATGTAAAAATAGCAATGGTTAAAGAGCTGATGAGAGTTCATTATGATTTTGACAAGGAAATTTCGTTATTTGTGGCACACAACATCTCAAGATAGTAATTAGAATTATGACTGATAACATCATACCAGGGCATATCAGAATTTTAGGGATTTTTTTGAATTCCTAGAACACTTATGATGTACACCCATGCAGACATAACACAATGCATAACATTACGTCTCATTTGACGTGCTTCCCATGTCATTTAACATATCAACTAATCCTAAACAGTAAAGCCCGTCCCTTTTTATAAGGAAAGGGAACAAATCTTTTGAAAAGTTTCAGGGACCCTTTGGGATTTATCAAAGTTACTTTCAGACCAAAAAGACTACATTTAGAATTAGCCTTGGGGAAATTCATAAACAAAAACCAATAGGTTTCGGACACTTGATCGAACAGGATCATAGATCATTATGAAACAATAGTTAATTATCTTCTCAAGCAAAGCAACAGTAAAAGGTGTCAAAGGCAAGAACAAAGGGTCATGTGGTTGTAAGCAAAACTTAGCTTTCTTAATCTCCAGAAGATTCCATTTACTTGACAATAAAGATAACGAAGTATAAGAAATTATTTTTGATAAAACACAAAATCTTGGGTGCCTGGGTGACTCAGTCAATTAACCATCTGCCTTCAGCTTAGGTCATGATCCCAGGGTCCTGCTTCTCCCTCTCCCTCTGCCTGCTGCTCCCCTTGCTTGTGCTCCCGGTCTCTCTCTCTGTCAAATAAATGAAATCTTTAAAAAAATACACACATAAGATCTTTACTTTCCAAGTAGATTGCCTTAAAAGGCAAAGAAAAATTTTTAGCCAACTTGACCATACATAAAATTTCTTTTTCAAAATTTTTTTCCATAAACCTTCAATAATTTTCTATATCTATTTAGATTTCTTTTTTTTTAATTTTGATTTATTTATGATAGTCACAGAGAGAGAGAGAGAGAGGCAGAGACACAGGCAGAGGGAGAAGCAGGCTCCATGCACCGGGAGCCCGACGTGGGACTCGATCCCGGGTCTCCAGGATCGCGCCCTGGGCCAAAGGCAGGCGCTAAACCGCTGCGCCACCCAGGGATCCCTCTATTTAGATTTCAATGGTCTTTTTCCTTATTCCAGAACAATCATTTTACTTGAGGACAAAATTCTTTTTTTCATATACTAAAACAACCAGCCAACCATGTTCTTTATAAACTTCCTTACTCCCCCAAAAAACCCAACCACGTTCTCTTTTCCTTATGTATTTTTCATATAGTACTTTTATTTTGTTATTGTTTCTGGTAGTTCTGTGGAACAAAACTTTTTTGCTGATAATTTTCTTCTTTTTTTTTTTTTGCTGATAATTTTCATCTTTTAGTTTAAATGTTACTTTCTCACTTTCAAAAGCATATAAAGCTTATCTAAAAAGAAATGTAAGGCAGTTGTTACAAAATAATTCCAGACTTACTCTTAGAAGATAGTGCAATTGCTTGTGCATTATATTTAACGAATGTAAACTCCTATATAATAGAGTTAAACCACACACTTCTTGGAAGTTACAGAATGAGGTTTACTCATGTCTATAGGCTCATCCTGACCTATCGCGGTTAGACTGGGAACCACAGAACAGGCAGGGCCAACAGCATCCCCTCATTATTGATGAAGAGCGTTGCTCTAAGTGAAGTAGGGAGAATAAAGATTTGAAAAGGGATTTCTAAACTGGCGGCACAGTTATCAATCCCTGGGAAGCCCCACCCCCACCCCCCTCCAACCAGAATTAACAGCTTTGCGAGTAGTTCTAAGAAATGGAGGAAGTTCTTTCAAATAGATTGCTGCCTGGATGCAAATCTGAAAAGGCAATGAAGTATGAGCCTATCAGACAGTGATGACACCTTGGTCTTGAGGAGTAATCACTGGGTATGCGCACACACACACACGCACACACACAAAAAAAAAAAATAGTGGTTGTTCTTATGCTGGCCTTTTGAGCTGCCCACACAGACTTTTGTTGCACAATTTACTGTAATATAAAAGCAATGGCCTTCAAACATGCTGGGTCATTCTTCAGTAAGAGAGTGTGTTTTATGGCCCAGTACGTATACATATATATGCATGTTTATATATATATAATATATTATTTATAAATATATATATTTATTATGATATATTCATATATATAAACATATATGTGTATATATATATACACACACATATATATATAACATACCCATATAAGTAACTGAAATAAGTTTAATTAACAAGTATTTCTTATTTCCAGTATATTCCATGTATTACTCTTTTGCATTTTATGAAATTACTTTTTTGTTTATATGTCATCTGTAGTGAATCCATTTATAAATTGTAGGTAACATTGAAGGTAGTATCTATGTATCTATGTAGACCTAGACAAGACATATATTTTCTATTTGTGTTAATGTCAATCATGACTCATCAAGGGTCTGTGACTATACTTTGAAAAACAAGAAGTTGATAAATTTGGAATATAGAGAGAGTCTGGACTGCCTGGTAAACTCAGGTACAGAATGTTGTTTATTTAATGCTGAGAACTTTGAAGACTTGCCTTCTTAAAAATTAACCCAACAAACTACCAATTCATCGGAGGTTATCTCAGATCATATGAACTGGAAAAACTTGAATTAGTTTCTATGTTTCTGAAAGTATATTTGATTTATATGAATGCTTAATTTTCTTTAAGCCATTAAATTGAGCTCTTTATGAATTAACTTTGATAATACCATTGGGAGGAAAATCTGACATATCTGTAAGGTATACATGCAGACATAGATAACACATAGATTCAGATATATGGTAGCTTTTGTTTAGAAATTTTAGCCATGTCTCAGGTACAAAACTCCAGAGAAAGTAAAGCTGACCTTGAATAATGTGGGTTGGAACTGTGCAGATTCCCTTTCATGTAGATTTTTTTTCCCCAATAAATACCAAACAGTTCTATAAATATAGTTTCTCCTCTTTGTGACTTATGTAATGGTATTTTCTTTTCTCTGACTTTCTTTTTGTAAGGATATAGTATGTAATCCACATAACGCGTACAAAATGTTGATTGATGGTTCCTGTTATGGGTAAGGCTTACTGTCCGTGATGTGGGAAACAAACGCAAAAGAAAAATCAAATTTCCTCACTACCTGCAGCCCACTGACAAGTCCTTGAAACAGGCAGAGGGACATTCCTCTAGGAACTCAGCTGCCTCAGTGTTCATACTTTGCTATGGGCAAAAAGCCATCTTAGCCCAACCCCCAGGATCCTGTGAGTCTACTTTAACATCTAAAAATTATTTTGTCTCTCATGAATAAATAAATAAAATCTTTAAAGATAATAATAAGAAATAAAAATTCCTTTGGAAACTTGCTTTATCTCTACCCCTCAAGATAGATGTTGGCGACCATCCCCCAAGCCTACGACCCACCGATACACATCTAAAGGGTCTCATGACTAGGGTTTTATTCTGCAGTAATATGACCTTTTCCTAACAACAGCTAGCCCCTCAAGATCCTGGAAACCTTGCTTCCAAAATTCCTTAGAGTCATATGCCATCTCCAACCCACTCTCAACTTGAAGATATATTATTAGTCACTCTTCCTGACCCGAGGGCAGCTCTTTCTGCCGAAATCCAAGCCCTAGCCTTCACAAATGCACACTCTACACTACACTGCATTACCTGTACCCGTGCTTTCATAAATAGAACCACCTTTTTGCACCAAAGATGTCTCCAGAATTCCTTCTTGGCCCTGGGCTCCAAACCCCAAAATCTTTCCTACACCATCAACAGCAGCCTATTAGTTCTGGGGGAGTAAAATGTCACGCGGGGCTTTTGGACCGGGTGGAGGTGGGTGTCCCTAACCTCTGCATTAGTCAAGAGTTCAACTTAATGGGATCCAAATTGTGCAGGTGGACTAAGTTAATGTTTCCTGCTCAGATGGCCAAAGTCCTTCATTACAGTCTGTATTTATATGCACACTGTAAGGATCCGATTAGATCTGTTTTTAAACTCATTTTCTCTTTAGAAGATTCTGCGCTTCAATCACAGACTGCCTGCCGTTGTCTCCCTGAGGTTTGAAACCCTCTCTTTTAAGGAGGCTCCTTAAAGTGGATTTATCTAAAAACTTCACCAGAACGGCCATTAAAGAATTCCAAATTCTTCAAAAGTTTATGCATTTTTCAAGAAAGGCGCCAAGATGCTGGTTAAAGAGCCAGGTGGAGCCTGACTTGCCTTCGGATTCCCTGAGACGTCTTAACAATGAGAGGCCTTATTTTTGAACAACTATTCCAAAACCCTGTGCATCATGTGTTTTCCTTCCTTACCAAGAAGCTTCAGACAACAGACACAAAAGAGTAGTCACCAGGGAAGGGTGATGCCTTCAAAAAAAAAAAACAAAACACCCCGATCCCGATCCCAAATAAACCCAGAGAGTTCACAGTACTA